GCAGTGTAGCGTGAAAGCACTGGTTCTCAATGATACTAAATAGACCCTGAGACCCCCTTGCAATAAAAGTTGCGACAGAGTTTGTAATTCACTTCCAATGTGGGTGGAAGCATTAACATCGCTTGCTTGAACATTTGGGGACGAATGGACTTGTTTGCATTCATAAGCAGTGCAGTTGGTTTCCTGATATGTTAAATCTGCAATGAGAAACTGGCAAACACTAAAAAGTTGTGAAGATGTCGGCTTCTCTTTCGAATTTTCTTGTTCCACCTTAAATAATGCTGCATTTACATTCGGCGCCTCAGTCAGTATTTAAGGTGGAATGGGAAAATTCTAACAAGAAGCTGGCAAATGAGAAGCGACTTCAGCCTCGTAAAACGTCAAACATTGAGATACATTTTACAAGAAACTGTTCTACTTTTGAGGAATGTTTCCTTATGGAGACGGGAGAAAAGCGGCTATAGCTAAAGCTTAAAGCAGAGCAAAGTAAGTCTGTGTTTTCGTTTATATTTTTAGCCTATACTAACACATTATCACATACTGACACATATTGGACATTAAATGTTGTTCACTCAACTTTAGGATAATCGAGTTCACTCAGTTCAAATTTCTTTTTTTTTCTTCTTCTCAGTTAGCTACATAATATAGAATTTGTTTTTATTTTTTTTAACTCAGTGTCTCCCCTAACTGGGACTCTTTCCATCATACAATCCAATTAGACATTTTCTCCTCTTGGGTACTTACTTATGGATGGCTATGACATCACTGAGGTTCAAACTCACAATCTCCTGTTAGAGTCCATTGCTCCAATCAAACACCTACAACTACTCAGATTTCTGTCCATGAATGTTTAATACACTGCAGATTATTATACTATTTGTTGTTTTAACTTTGAAAAGTAGCATACTGCAACTATCTAATTATTCACCCCAACAACAGGAGATTCTGAGTTTGAAGCCCAGCAAAAAATGTCCACATATGGAAGCCAAAGATGAGAAAATGTCTGATAGGACTGTGTGATGGAAAGAGCCTCAGCTAGTAGGAAAAATGACTAAAAAACACTAATTCAATTTTGTTTTCCTCACTGAGATGCAGACGTAGAAATGTAAAAACTTGTGACTACACTAAGAAGTTTAAGTTGTGTGAACTCCAGTGTCCTCAAATTTAGTTGACTTGGAAAGGCTGTGTAATCATTTACTTTAGAATTGTAGGTTGAGCCGACTTCTCTTTTTTTTTTTACATGTTTAGACAAATGGCAGCTGGTTCACACACTGTGACACAGTGCAATGGATGTTACATGTTTTACATAGACCTTATTTTTGAATAATAAATATATTTCCAAAGAACTGGACAGCCAGTCTGTTTTCCAACATATGCTACTAAAAGAAATAAAAAATAGACTTGTATAAAACATGTACAGACACCTGAAACACACAGAGGCTATAATTGCTTACGTATATGTTGGAGGAGTGGTACTTGTTTTAGAGTGATGAATGATTCACTATCAGTACCTCACACACCATGAGAAAATACTGCATCTGTGATTAATGCAAGTGCGTTCATTCACAATATAAATTAATAGCCAGCTAGCAGTTGTAGCTGCCACTGATCTTACTTTTTCCACAAAACACAGCTAGTGGAAAACCTTTCCCTAATTTACAAAGTAAATAATGTACTATGAAAATGCTACTATGAGTCTGCAACATTTTTTTTTTTTTCATTTGAAAAGGATATATTCACAGTAATTTACAGCTATTGCATTGTGGCTTGCTAAATGGGACAATTCAACAGTTAACTTGCAGACAGTGCATTAGTTGTGCTACCTTACAGACTCATGAATGGACCAAAGTGTCAGTCATAGACAAGAAGTCTTTTTCAATGTAATGGACTTCTTCATCGAAAGTGTGTAGAAATGAAAGCAGATTCAACCAATCTTAATGTTGTACCAACTATTCTTTTTATATGAAAAAAGTGTGAGGTAATTTTAACTGTTCTGTCATCACAGCCCTTAATGAGGTGTTTATGTAGAAACTTGTTTTGTGATAGAAATCCATTTATCATGCAGACCTAGTACACCTACTCAAGATTGCCACGCTAAACATTCTTTACACTGGTTTGTGTGTGGTGTGCCTCTTTGAAAGAGAGAAAACCTATATGAACCACATGAACAGGATCTCAATGCACGTGCTTCCAGCCAGCTTCTGGAGTGTATTAAGTAAAAGACCTGAACACACACCCTATGTAAACATGCAGAGTATGTTTGATGCTGCTACTTCTAAAGTATTGATGAGAAATGCTGTTTACTGAAATGAGACATGTTCTCTCGATCAGAAGAACTAGATCGAAGAAAGCACCAATGATTTTTTTAGCCTGTTGTTTTCATATTTCCAGGTAATCCCCACTGTAAACTAAACTAGGAGAATTCTAGTTTGCCGTTGATCGATTGGACCGTGTATTGATCATAAGTCAAGCACAGGATGAAAGGAGAGATGACAGAATTGAAGAAGACATAAGAAAAGGAAAGAGAACAATAAAAGGACAAAATACAATAAAAGAGAGTGGACAGAATGAAAGGACAGAGGACAGGAAAACAGAGAGAGGAAAGAATGAAAGAAAAGGATGAAATGAAAGGACAGGACAGGATGAAAGGAGAGAAGACAAAAAGAAAGAGGGCACAATGAAAGAGCGGACGACAGGATTAAAGGAAAGAGGTCAGGATGAAAGGACAGAATGAAAGGACAGCAGATGGAAGGAGAGAGGACCAATACTGTAATGACCCACAAATAATTATATTTTTTCTCTTAACTTGGTAAAAAATGTGATAAAGCCCAATAATGTAATATAACGTCTTAACTGATATTGCAATAAGAGTTTTACTGAAAATGGATCACTTTTTATTTGGGTGATATTTTTAAGGGCACAATTTCCAAAAATATCTTAGTGTTAAGATTGTCTCGAACGTTTAGTGTGATGGTCCCTCTACCATTTTAGAATAAGATGTTTTTGGGCAAACCTAGACAAGAGCAGTTACCAAACAGCTCCTTTTACACTTTGCAGGCTTAAAAAACTTGTTTTATTATAAAGTAGTCATCCAAAATGATTATCTATACCATGAGCATTTTGTTTCATTGATTAAAATAGAAAGTGAAATTTGCGTTTTAGTAATGAAACATGAATATGAATGGCTGCACACATTTTTTTTTTTATTATTATTTTGTAAAAAATTCCAATAGGCGTCATGCTTTATGTAAAGGTTACATTTGCCGATTTGATCAAAGTTAGCTAAAGTACCATTTGAGTGTTGGCCCTGTCTTCAGGAGATCGCGAGTTCGATCCCTGATGATGATACAGTCGTCCGTAGCCGAGGGTCTAATAGAGCACAGTCGGCCTCGCTCTCTCTGGGTGGGTAGGTTGGCCCCACTTCTCCCTCCATCACTCAAAGCGATGCTAGTCAGCGCAGGTGTCTGTTAGCTGACGTAACAGATCTGGTGGTTGGTGCTCCCCTCCAACCGTGTTTGGCTGTCCAATGATGTTGTGTTAGCAGCAGTTTGAAAAGATGAAGTGGCGCTTCACAGGTCTCGGAGGAAGCCTGCGCTAGCTTTCTCCCTCCTTCTTGGTGGTTACTGGGGGAGTGAGCAGGGCTGTGACTAGGATCAAAATTTTAGTCAGGTCCATTTTGCAGAAATGTGATCTCATAGTGAATAACCTGCCAAATATGAGTATCACACCAACCGATTACTAAAAAGCACACACTATACCATCAATATTCTGGTTAACAGTGAACTAGCCTGTATGACAGATGATGCTAGTGATGGAATAAACATTTATAAACATTTATTTAGGGTTGTCAGTTGTCATGACAAACTCACATAAGTGTCATATAGCCTTATGAACAGTAAACTGTAGTGTACTGTAGTGTAATTCACAGTGTGCTATTCTGAAATTGGTGAATTTTGCAAAAGTAATGAACAGAACACATAAAAAAGCACATGAAAACGGTCAAGAACAAAGTCAGAGACAGCCTAACACAACAAGCAGAAGGTTTCAGAATAATGAGGCAGCAGATCCAGAAGGGATCCTTTAATAAACCGACAGAATAGAAATGGCTCTTCAAAGCGAGTCGACTCCCGACGTTCACCTAAAAGAGCCGGTTCAAAGAGCCGATTCGTTCGAAAGCGACACGTCAATAGGAGGAGTACAGACTGGTAAAGAAGAAACGAAAGTAACTCTACCCTGGCGCCATTACGGACGGAGGGAAGACTGTAGATATCAGCGCTTTGGGTTCATTCGGTAAGTCTGTAACTAACAGAAATCAGGAATATCTGCGTGTAGTTTAAAGGAAGAGCGCGCTTTTATGTGTTTCACAGATACTGAACTGTTCTTTCAGCTGAACTCAGTGGAGGATCAAACATGGAAAAGAAGTCGCAAAATGGCCGATTACTGAAACACGCAGAGACAGAGACCGAAATGGTCAGAAGATCAAGCCTGTATTTAAGTGAGCTGGTATAAAAGTAGAAAAGTAATGTAAATTTAATATAAAATACAAGTACATATATAAATGTATTCATATTCAATGGTGGTAGTTTGTCTGAATTCAGAGCGCGTTACTTTTAATGTGCGAGTTGTAACTATGGCGTCGATAAAAAAAGCACTAATGCTGTAAAAGGCGTGTTGATGTGCAGTAGCGCTGTTTGACCAGCAGGGGCCGCAAGGTAACGTATTGCTATAGAGCTGTGTTTCTAGATCCTGCTCCTGTTTAGTACACTGGATAAGGATCTTTAGTAATATTCTCTTTAATATCCAATTAGGGTTGGATATTAAAGAGAATATTACTAAAGATCGTTAGAGTTTTTAAGAATAAGAATCTTACAGTTTTAGATTATTTTCATGTTTCTTTTTCAGGTGTTGTTTCATGCTGTAGGTTACTGACAGCAAACTCATTAGCCTAAGAATGAATGTTGTTGCACCCTGGTCATATTTTTATGGACGATCTGTTACAGGGAGCAGCAGCTCCAGCATCTCCATCTGTGTATGAAGAGCAGCAACTTCATGATGGATGCTTGTTACTGCAGTGGTGAAAGATTTTGTTCCAGAAAGTGAGTAGCATCTGCACTTAAAGAAAACAGGAAGAGGAAACATGAGCTACCCTCTTAAGTCTTGGTTCCTCTCAGTATTTCTTCCTTGTGCATGTTAGATTAGAACATAATTATTCAGTACTTTACTCTCATCACAGATTAACTGTTTACAGGATGAAGAGAGCAGCATCTTCAGAACCCAGCTGTGGGCCTACAAAGAGGTACTGGTCCATGACACAGCCTGTTAGCAGTCAAGGAGGAATATCTGACTAGTATAACACTACAAGCAATAAATAGCTGTTCTGAAAATGAATGAATCATACAGTGCATTTCTGAACATTGTTAAACATGTGGTACGTGTTGTACGTCGCATTGTAAAGAGCAGAGTTGTTTTTTGTTTGTTTAATGTGAGCAGGTTGGAAACCCAAAGACTGCTTCATCCAGTGCTCTTTAACTTAAATAATGCAGACTTCAGCAGTGGAGGTTACTCAAGGTACGTTACCATAGACAATTACAAACTGTTCTGAGAAGTAAGGTTATAGATGTATTCGTTAACATTTCTTATGCATGGCACAGTCATATGTAAAAGTTTGAACATCCCTGGTGAAATTACGTGTTTTGTTGATTATGTAAGTGAAAATAGGTAAACATTTTCTGTAAGGAACATATTTAAATTAGAATTCTCTGTAGATAAAAGTGAAAAATTTAGTTCTTTAGGTCAGTGTATTGGGAAAAACATAAAATATAAAGCTTTCACAAAGGCCACATTTTATTCATTTTTTCTTTTCCAGTATGTCCAGTAAACAGTAATTGTGCATTAAAATGTGCAGACAGGTGTTCTCTGTAGAGGATATGTTAACTTGTTTTCAGTTAGAAAATCAACAAAACATGTAATTTGATCAGGGGTTCCAAACCTTTGCATATGAATATACATATTGTTTTTCTCTATTTCATGTTAGCTGGACAGAAACCCAGAGACCACTTTCTCCAGAGCCCTTCTGGAATCGATTTGATGTCAACGGGGAACTTGATTTTCCTGATGAGTGAGTGAAACATTAAGGACTCAGAGATTCCCTTACTGTAATTTGCCACCTAATTCTATACATAATTTTATATACTGTGAACATATTATTACTGCTCCAGTCATTCATATAAAAGAGATTTCCAGAAGGTTGGGTTTAGTTTAGAAAAAGATACGATTCAGTGTTACGTTACTACACTTACATTCTCCCAAACAAATTCAAAAAGCCTTTTAAAAAGTTTCAGGTTCACTGATGTAATATATTCTCTCAACATGTTTCCAGACTGAAGGAATACAGAGAAGCACTTCCAGAACCCAGCCATGTGCCTCTGTACAGCAACAGCTCAGTGATCAGGCCTCCTGATTTGAGTGCTGGAGGAACTGGTACTGTCCTAAGGTGAGACACAAACACACACAAAAACAGCATGGTTGAGTTTAATTTGCTGAGGGGCAGAGCGTTCTGTAGGTCACAAACACGAGTGTTAAACCACTCTGGAAAAACACTGGTGGACGTGTCAGATGTTTGTGTCAGTGAAGCACTCAGCATGGCTTTCTGGTTTAGTTTGATCTGTTAGGCTTACCTTCATCTTAGTTCTCATACTTTACAGCGACTAAGGAATCAGATTCTCGTACTGTAACTTACTGTATCAATGTGTATACCATGTACATTATACACCCCAAGTATGCGGACACCCCTCCTAATGATTGAGTTCAGGTGTTTCAGTCACCTCGTTGCTTATAGGTGTATAAAATCGAGTACATAACTTTGCAGTCTCTGTAGATAAACACTGACAGTGGGATGGGTCGTACTGAAGAGCTCAGTGACTTAAACGTTGCACTGTCATAGGAAACCGTCTGTGCTGTAAGTCAGTTTGTGAAGTTTCTGTCCTGCTAGATCTGCCCCAGTCAGTTTTTAGGTGCTATTTATTGTGGAAAGGAAGCGTAATACAGAGTTCCAAACTTTCTCTGGAAGCACCGTCAGCACAAGAACTGGTATTACACTGGTACTATCCTTAAACAAATATAACATTTTATTTGCACTGCTTATTGTTAATAAGAGCCTATAACAATATATTTGCGCTGTGCTTATTGTTATAAAGGAGCAGTTCTATAAAGCAATAATAACCTGCTTTGTTTATTGTGTTCTTACAAATATTCCAGCCCGACTGTAATTTCAGTAAATATTATGAAGTCAATTAAAATGGCACGTTAATGACAAGTGATTTAGTGATTTGATGACGATATTGAGAGTGGCTTTTCCATGATGTGATGTCATATCATAAGCTAAAACGTGTGTTTTTAGTAGTGCACAATGAGCCAAATAGCCAGCTTCGGTAACTTACATTCCCTAACTTTATGAGATTATGATGACATGAACATGATGTGATTATAAGATAACTACAC